AGTCCATCGTGATCCGCGCCTTCCCTGAGAGCCTTACATTTCATATCCTTGTGGTCTTTGCTCACAAAGCGGCTTCATCTGCATGAAAGAAGTATGTTTTCTGGATTTTCCAGCTACTGAAAGCCGCTACTCATGAAACAGGTTGCTGTCCTGAAATGTCTTAGTGGAAGCTGGGCAGGTAGTGAAACTACCAGGGCCTACTCAGGTGCTAGCTCTAGGCATCTTTCCTGGTCCATTTCCTAGCAGTTTGCATTTTCAGTGCACAGCCAGATTTTGCTAAAACAAAACAAAACAAAACGGTGATTATCATTGTGTATGCGATTAGACCAAGTGTCTGGAATAGGATCCGCTGAACTTATATATCAGGAGCTCCCAGCTTACAGACCAGTCCCCAATGCATTCAGTAATACTAAATGAACTGAATAGAAAAAAATCCATTGCGTCGCAGGCCCCTGATTGAAGAGAAGAGCAGGAAATTAGCAATCTGGGGTTTTTTTTGGGGGGGGGTCGGGGGGGGGGAAAGGAGTGGACAGGGAGAGTTTGAACCTAGACTTTGCCCAGGACTCTAGTCTACCACTAATCTATAGCATAACCTACTCAGTGTCGTGAAATTAAAGCATGTTCATTGAGGGCTACTATATTTTCATCACATATAGAATGAGTAGCGCATGAAGCTCATGAAAAACTTAAGAAAGCAAATTAGTTTAAGATGGGAAAAGGCTAACAACTCCTGTTTGGGACCCTTAAACCATCAACTCAGAACACAACTGTCACCTCAAAGAGAGTTTATTCTGGAGCCAAATGTGAGTGGCCACGACCAGGAGACCAGATTAGGTTACCCCAAATTCCAAATACCAGTATAGCAACAGTTTGATGAAGTTTTTATACTTACAGAACAAAGAAACTATTCACCAGAGAATGGGTTACAGCAAAGTGGGGAAACCTTCCTTATAGCCCTCAGATATTACCTGATGACACACTTAGTTCTTGAATTGTGAAAGCCAGTGCTCTGCTAAAACAGTACATTCTAAAGAAACTAGTGCTCTGTTTCCACAGTCCACAGGATTTGCTTTATGAAGCTATTAGGTCAATTACACAGGAGAGCAGTAAACAGCCCCTAAATAAATGGATATGAAGATAACTAAATATGGCCCCAAATAGTTTGGCTCTCGACTTGCAGTATTCTAACTTCTCCACATCATTGAGGGTCTAGTCTAATCAGCTAACAAGCCTTGAAGAAGGTTCAGTTTGAAAGTGCAGCTGCTTTCTGGGAACTCTCGTCTACTGTTCCCCCTGTCTGCCAAGCATCACATTTTGTACATGGGGAGGGGACACATAGTTCTTACTAAATATTATTAATGTTACATGTTGCTGGGAAATGCTTCCTAGCATCTGAGGTAGATGAGGCTGAGAAGTAGCCTGGACAGTCATCTTCAGGAGAGGGGAATAGCCCATTAAAGCCATGAAGGAAACAACTTCTGAATCATATCATTAAAATCTACTGGCCATTACGTCCCAGATCTGGTTTTTAAAAGCTCTCTGTATTTGACATAATGTGGCATGTATTAAGAGCAACACACCAAAAATTAAAATTATCAAGAATATTGTCTGGCCTAAAGATAACAGGTGAAGGAAGTAAAAAATTTAAAACAAACCCTAGATTGACTATATATTTGCTCCTCTGATTACAGTTACTTGTACTCAAGTGAGTTATCTTATTTATAATTGGAGTATTTAAATGAATCTATTATCTTTTAATTCTACTGGGTTTATTATTATTATTATTGTTTGTTTTGATTCTGGCCAGCTTTATTTCATAGTTATAACCTTGGATGGAATGGCTAACTCTAACTAGGAAAAATTGATCTTTAATATTCAAGTTATCATAGCTCTTAACTGTTGGCTACTGGCCAAATCTGTTTTATTTTATTGGTAGTAAGCCAGATTTAGTTGGGGAAACAAAATATACAGCCACATTGTAAAAGAAATTAGATAGCAATATAGTATTCCTGTCAACCTTCTTTTAACAATGATAGAAACAAGAGATTAGACTTCTTATAAATCACAATCTTAATTAGAGGGTTAGCATAATAGTAAAATGCTTGCCTAGCATGCATGAGGGTCCTGGGTTCAATCCTAAGAACTACCTCCCAACCCCCAAAAGAAGTCAGAATGTTATCGTCCCTATAGGCATAACTAAATCTTTTATTTTAACAGCATTAGTGGAAATGGGACTCTATAAGGAGTCACTGTAGTTTTGTCTATTTCTTTTTTATTAGCAAAATATAAATATTGTTTAATTTTTAAAAAGATAATTGTACTGTGGAACACCTTAAATAGCCATTTAATGAAGAAACTTCATCTCTGAAGCTATAAAACACTATGGATGTTGTAGTTATTAGAGGTTGGTGTATTTTGTATAAATGAATAAAGGGAGTTAATGATATCAGGAGTCTCTAGCTAGAGTAAATTTCAACATCTGAACATATTTTAGGGCTTTTTACAGTGTTTAATTGATTGGACCCAGTTAATTAAAGGATTTAAAGAAACATGGAAAGAGAAATGTTGTTACCTGAGATACTCAGTTGTCAATGGGCTTGAAATTGAGTATCATTCAGCATTTCTGAAGCCCAGACAAATGTGTTCTTAGATGAAGTTAGTGTATCTTTCATCTGAGAAATGTGAACCTAGGAGTTCATCTCATCTGGTTTTATCGTCCAGTAGAGTAGGTTAGGGGTGCCTGGATACGTTTTCTCTCCTCCCGACAGAATGGAGTCCTTGCTTTCAGTGGATGAATCATCTGGTTTCCTTATTCTCTGAGGAAGACTCTATAACTAATTTTGAATTTTTGGTTATCATAGTTAAAATTTCTTTATAGTAGCAAATGCTTTTCTTTAATAGATGTGGTTCCTGTTGTTTCTTTACTTATTTTTAATAGAATGTCAAGTACTTTAAACACTTTTCATTAGTTCTTTGAGTTTTGTAAGTTTGCTTATATTCAATCTCCTTCCCTACACAGGACTTTCTCTCTCTCTCTCTCTCTCTCTCTCTCTCTCTCTCTCTCTTCCAATTTGGGATATCTTGGGTGTGTGGACTTCACTGTCAACTTACCAGGGGCTACACTCTTAGAATGTCTCTCTTCTAGTAGCTAACAATTGCCAGTAACTTCATGGCTGGGGGTCGTATTTGTGCCCGATTCCCCCTGAATGCTGGGATTTGGCCTGGATTGAATCTGCATGGGTTTTGTGTCTGTTATTATAACCTCTGTGAGCTCACATGTGCAGCTGCTCTGGTGTGTTCAGAAGACACTGTCTCCTTGTAGTCACCCACTGCCTCTGGCTCTTACCCTCTTGCCACCCTGTCTTCCACAATGATTCCTTGCCAGAGTCAAGCTCCAGTGGGGTTCTTGTGCCATAGGAAGGATGTGTGAAGTCGTCGAAAAATGAGGAATCTGACCACTGGTTGTCTTTCAAACTGATGGCCCCGACTAGCTCAGGGCGTCTTTGTTTATGCAGGTTCTAATTCATTCAAGCATGAGCAGTTTCAAAGCATTTCTCTTTAATCATTTTCCAAGAATCAATTAACATTTTAGTTTTCTTCTTACTCATTCCCTTGAGTCATTGACCTTTACCCCTTACCATTATATAGCAAGCAAATGTTCTAGCTAGGTACATCTACTTCATACTGTGCCCTACCTGGCAGCAAACATGTGGTTAGAAAGTAAGAAATTTGAGCCTATTGATTAATTCTTAACAATATGGGATCCGCTGAATCTACTGTGATGCCTAGAGTATTTCGGGTGCATACCAGTTTCTGAGTAATCTGTATATCAACTTTATTATATGGATTATAGTTATAATCCTATTCTTTATAAGTTCTCAAAATAATGATTAATACCTAACTCTTTAACTATGGAGACTAAGTTTCTTTGTTCTTCCTGGGAATTTCTAAATGTACTTCTTTAAGAGGAACTAGAAGTTTTAGATTTCTTTTTTGATACTTTGATATGGGAAAAGTATCTGAGTGTTTATATCCTCTTGCCAGAGAAATGTCTGACCTTTCATGTCCTCTTTTTCCTTCTGTGTTCCTATCAGGTTTTTAATGTCTTTAAGAAACTGTTTTTCTTGGTTCTTACCTGCTTTGGAATGTATTTATCTCTTTTCGGTATTGAATAAGCAATAATCATTAACTTTAGTTAGTTCCTCCTGCTTATACAGGATGCCTGCAAAGGCAGCCAGGGACAACTGGAGAAACTGGTTTCTGTAACAGATCAGAGAAATTTGGTTTTTCTGTAAAGGATTTTGTTCCCAGAAAACTCAGGCATAATCACTACTAACAAGACAAAACCAAGAGTCTCCATAAGAATAAGCATACCAAAAGTTAGAGAAGCCTGAAGCCCATGAACGCTCTAAGGTCAGCACAGGAGTTTGCAGTATTGTGCCCATAGGTCCTTGCCAAATGGATGGGATTCTCCAAAGGGCCTTGCCATCTAAGGAGCTCCATTTGCAACAACATACCTGTGCACCATTCCCATGGGGGTGAGAGCATGGCTCCCACCAATTCCTGAACTGTGGAAGTGGGGTAGGGGTGGTATGTATGTTTTCTTTGGGGATGAGAATTCAGCAGTCTCCTCTTCTAAGAATCTTGGCCAGTTGTGGGTCTGTTATCACCATCTACTGCAAATAGGGGCTTCTCAGATGAGGATGAGAGATTCACTGATCTCTGTGGGTATTCCAAATGAAATACACCAATCTGAAAACCCAAGTCTAACACCACAAATTAGAAAAAGACATGGGATATTGCCTTGACTTTTAAGATTCCTTTGGTATAAATCATAAAATTTAAAGACACATGTATTTCCTAAGAAGGCTGTTTAATGTTGCTTATATGTAATTTTTAGGGATGATCACTTGGAGTTCTTCATCTAGGGATGAGGCCCCATGAGGTTTCCCAAATCCATGTTGGTATGTCAACTGGTGCCATTGTTAAGGCTTATCTAGACAGCTATTTTGTTGAGACCAAGTACTCATTTTACCCTTGCGCAGGGGCCGTACTAATCTTCTCTGTATTGTTCCAATTTTAGTGTATGTGCTGCCGAATGGAGCATGAGACCAACTACTTATTTTATAAGAAAGATATTTTCCAAACTATGTAAACCTCAGTTGAAAGTCAAAGCTTTAGTTAATTTTGACAATTTATTAGAGCTATTTTTCAATCTAATAGGCCAAATTTTATAAATAAATTTAAATATTTGCCCATTAAAATGACTTCCATGGCCATTATGTAGTAGGAATACCCCAAGTTACTATTGAGGTGATGGATATCTAACAAGCAAAGGCTTTGTCCAGTAGGAAAACATAGAATATAAAAAAATCTAATCTCAGATTTTGAATGTCTTATTTAGTAAAAGGATAAAAACACAGCCCTTGTTTTTTGAAACCATTTTTGTAAACATCAGTAAAATTAGATCAGTACTTAAGAAAACCTTACCATTGCAAACAGAATCAACCATTAATCTATCTCAGGCCATTGAATTTTGACCTTAAAATTTTAATAAACTTTATACTATACTCAGTTTATTATAGCCATCCACTTTAGGCTTTATTCTCACAATCTTTCTACAATATAATTCAGTCTTCTAAAATTCTCATTCATTTCCATTTTGGAACAGTCTTTGTCTTACCATACAAAGTCCTTTCTCAACTAAAGCATTTTGTCTTTAACTTTTTTAAATCAAAAATATATCTCTTGCGTATAACCATTGTCTTTTTCTAACAGTGGGTTTTTTTTGTACTTAGCCCATTATTGTTGTTATTTAAAAAAAAGAACAATTTTAGCCTGATAATTTTCAATAAAACCCTAGGTGGCTGTATCTAAAAGAAGAAAATATATACACGATGTCATAGTTACCTTCAGCTATAAACTTGACACAACCCAGAGTCACTTGGGAAGAGGGAACTCAGTTGAGATATTGCCTCCATCAAACTGGCCTTTGGGAATGTCTGTGGGGGTATTTTTAAAATTGATAATTGATGTAAGAGGTCCCAGTCTACTGTGGGGAGTGCCACCCCTAGACAGGTGAACCTGAGCTATTTAAGAAAGGTGGCTGAGAAGCTAGTGAAGGGTACTCCTCCATGGTCTCTGCTTCATTTCCTGCCTCCAGGTTCCTGGCTTAGTTTCACTCCATGATAGACTGTAACCTATAGCCAAATAAACCCTTTTCTCCACTAACTTGTTTTTGTCAGTGTTTATCATAGCAACAGATAATCTAGGATAGAAATTAATTCAATTAAAGCAGACATCCCATTCATTATCTCTTGTTGCCCAGGACTTCTGGTTTTCCATGCAAAAATTATCACATTTAGAATAGTAAATGTTCCTCATTGAGGGAACTATAAAACCAAGCCATTGTTGGTTAGCTCTCCTCATTGTTCCAAACACAGTTGAAAGTCTGTAACTAGCTGACTTAAAGCTGGCTGCAGTGTTGGAAGGCATTGACCTAATGCTTCCTCCTTTTTGGAAACATTGTTTCTCCTGAAAAATCCTAAACCTGTGTGCTATCTTGGGGATATGTGTTTTGGATAAGAGTTACATTCTGCTTTGGGGATTAACCTTCTCAGATTTTACCCTGAGATGATCTTCTTCCACTGTGTCTAGGGTTACCCCGGATGTTTACAGAAATGGTAGCGTGCTCAAGACACTGGGTGATCAAACCCTTAGATGTATCTTTCTGGACATGCCAATACATTTCTTTCTGATTCAGGAACAGGGTGTATTTGTTGAGTGGGCTGGAGCAAAGTGGGGGAAACCTCAGTTGTAGGTCTCAAATGCTATGTGATGATACTCCCAGTTTTTGTCTGTGAAAGCTAGAGCTCTGCTAAGTTAATACATTCCAAAGGAAACCAGTGCTATTTCTGCAGTCCCCTACCTGATTTTCCTAATGATCACCAAGCTGTTAGGTGAGGTGTGGAGGAAACCAGCAAAGCACTACTAAATAACTGGCGATTAAGAGGGCCAAGGGACCCCCAAATAATTGTCTCTGGACTTGCAGTTACACTTGAAGTTCTGATGAGTTAATCAGCTGTGTAGAGGTTCAGTTTGAAGAGCAGCTTCTTTATGTGTTTCTGGATATTTGATCACGTTGTGAACCCGGTGTTTTCCATAATTAAATAAAACCTTGGGTCAAGAGGTGGAGCCAGCAGCTAGTTGACAGGAGGTAGCCAGTGGAGAGTTGGAGGGAGGGACTTTGAGTTCGGCAGTCTGGTTTTTTTGTTTGTTTGTGATGGTGGAAGGGACGCTCTCTTGCTATGTCGCCAGCTAAGGAGGAAGGTCAATTGGCTGCTCCGTGGCTTCTCTCTGTTAGCAAGTGTCTGACTTTATTGGTAAAATAAAACGATGGAGATTTAGTTAAAAGCGCCTTTGGCTGCAGAGGCAAAGTCGATTTAGCTGGACACAGAAGTCCTGCCCAGCTTGGGCCTGAGCAGCGGGGCAGTGATTATGGAGCGGCAGTGAGGAGCTGAAACAGTAGATTCAGGTACAGCTGCTGTGCCAGCGATAAAACACAAAAGGGCATTGGCTACTGCTGATGGAGAGCTCATGAGGTGAGACTCAGGCGGAACTGAGGAGGTCTTAAACAATAGAAAAGAGTGAGGTGAGGGGTAGAGCAGAAGGTAAATTCTCAGGCCACGCAGGGGGATGAAGGTGGTCAAGAATGGCACTCAGGGAAAACATAGCTAACAAGTTTAGGTGGGAAGTGTGCCCTCATGAGGGGCAGAATGAGATTTAAAGTGGTTCTCTCAGGAAGGCATGTTTTCGAATAAAGGCCGACTACAGACAGGCTACCTAGGGAAGTGTTATTTCAGAACTTTAAAATGCCTTCTTGACATGAGACACAGTATAAGGCGCTGGCAAATCCATAGTGAAAGAGACATCACCCCTCAAGGAACTGCAGCCTAGAGCTAGGATGATGTGGAACTCTGTCTTCTAGACATGACACCAGAAGCCAGAACAGCTGTTATTACTCCTGAAAGACCCTCACATGTTGGGTCCATTAACATTTCCTCATAGAAGGGAGGCTCATATTCCCCCAATATCCATATATAAACAGTTAACCTTTACTGGGATGGGGGGTTCCTCTGTGGTGTGAGTGCCAGTGTTAGTGACCTGTACTGTTGTAACCCCTTACCCATGTTCCTGTGAGTAACTTCAGTGAACTCATTAGTTCACCAAGCTAGACTTAGGTGGACCCAGTTGTGTGTTGTGTTGTTGCTTTATCTGGGGTAAATGGAAAGACTTCCAGGGAAAAAGTCATAAAATTGCCCTGGAAGTATGTCAATGAAAGCTGGACAGATAGTGATGCTAGAGATTCCTCATGAATAAATAAGGGCCTGGCTAGGAAGGGAAAGGAAATGAAAATGAACCCTTGTATACAAGAGAGCTTTTTTTTCTGTTTGTTTGTTTGTTTGAGACAGGGTTTCTCTGTGTAGCTTTGGAGCCTATCCTGGCACCCGCTCTGAAGACCAGGCTGGCCTCGAACTCACAGAGATCTGCCTGCCTCTGCCTTCTGAGTGCTGGGATTAAAGGTGTGTGCCACCAACGCCTGGCACAAGAGAGCTTTTTAAAAGTAAGAACAGCAGTTGGCAGAACACATGTCCAGCATACACAAAGCCCTGGGTTGAAGCCCTAGCATTATACAAAATCAGGTGTGATGGCACACACCTGTGTGTAGAGACAGGCAGCTCAGAAATCAAGGTGAGACCCTATTCCCCCCCCCCTTTGAGATAGGGTTTCTCTGTATAGCCTTGGCTGTCCTGGAACTCACTTTGTACACCAGGCTGGCCTTAAACTCACAGAGATCCACCTGTCTCTGCCTCCTAAGTGCTGGGATTAAAGGCGTGTGCCACCACTGCCTGGAAGAGACCCTATCTCAAAACCCAAACAAAAGATGGTTCCTCAGCTTCCAACCCATCCACTAGTGAACAAGCTTGAGCTGGGCAATAGGCAGAGGAAGAAGGATGCAGTTGGTCCAGAGTGCCCTGAGCAGGCAGGAAACCACACTTCTCTCCTTGGTTTATGGCTTTACTTTTTAAATTAGATAAATAGACGGTTGGCGGGGCATCTCTCAGAGATGTGCTTCTTGTCTAGTTCTCTTAAGCTTTTCTCCCGGGTCTCTTCTGTTTCCTTGTGTTGCTACTTTTCTTTTCTGCCTCTCTTCTCTGACTCCCTCCTGCCAGCTCCTGTGTCCTCTCTGTTTGCTTGCATCCACAGCCCCCCTGGGCTTGCTTCCCTTGCGTTGCTCTTCTCCTGGCTTGTCTTTTGGAGAATGCATCCCAGTCTACCTGCTCGGTCGGGCCCATGGGATGCAGGCTGCTGTGCTCTGAGGCGGTGGTGGGAATACATGGAGAGGCTGACGGTGAGGAGGCACTCCTGTCAGTGCTGTGGTAACTCAGGTTTGCTCCTAGTGGCAGTTTCCTCCTCCCTTCTGTCCAGAGAGAGCCCCCCCGAAACTGAAAACTGAAGAGACGTGCTGGTGTGGGCTTCGTCAAGTCCCCCCAATGGGAAGGGATTCATTATATAGAGATTCCTGTGAGTTCCAGAGAGAAAAGTGGTCAGTATCATATAAGTTACCAGGAAAACTCTTCTGAGAATGCATAGACACAATGATGGCCTTTGTCTCTGACAACTCTAAACTGTATAGCTGTCATTTCTTCTGATACATAAAAATTAAACAAAGTTTAATTCATAGGTATGGCATGAGATCGCCAACGTGCCTAATAATTAAACCAAACAATTGTGATCTAACAAAAGTTATGTGACTGTGATTTCTCAAGTAGTGAATCCCCATTTAATTTTTGGACTGCATTTGGTTGTGGCTAACTGAAACCGTGGAAAGTGAGACCACAGGAGGGAGCAGTTGTTCTTTACATTTTAATGTTTAATTTAATTATGTGGATGGGGTGTGTGTGTGCATATGAGTGCAGGTGTCTGTGGAGGCCTTGAGGGGTCAGATCTGGAGCTGGAGTTACAGGGAATTGGGGGTCATCTGGGTACTGGGAACCAAATTCAGGTCCTCTGGAAGAGCAGTATGCATCCCTAACTCAGAGCAACCACTTAGGCCCCTAGTTACATTTAAAACCTTTCAGTTATTAATAAATGGTCTTTCAGAAGAGTTTCATTGCTGTTACTTCACATAATCATATTTCAGCTGATATTATTTCATTGATAATACCTAAAATTTTATGACGTTTGCTTTGTGTGTATATTGTATGTAGATCATGAAATGAGAAAGGGCTCATGGGAAGACAGGAAGACACCCTGAGGAGAGGAGAGAAAGGATGGAACAGTGGAGTGCTGGTGACAGGAAAGTAGAAGAGAAGACTGTTTGGGAAAGAGAAGGGCACTAGCAAGAAGGGGGCAGTGGGGACAGGGGAGGGCAGTAAAGGGGGGCAGGAGAATGAAGTGTAATGACATCTACCTATGAAATTACTGCTTGCACAGTGGCAGAATAGCCATGCAGGCTTATCTGAGGTGTGATTATTCCTAACTAAAGGCAAGAAAAGTACCATAGTGAAAGCATAGTTTTGTGTGTTCGCTTAAAAATTGCTTTAAAAATAAGATTTTTTGTTACAAATACAAAAATAAGTATTTTTATGAATTAGAAAAACATAAATTAACCTCCTTTAGGACTCTGTCAGACAGTGCATAGAAGGTACTTCCCAGTGCTGTGAGTAAATGTTGGCCGGATGGGGGCCTTGGAGCATGGAAAGAGAAAGGCTGGGACCCCAGGGAAGTTTGTCCTGCCCTGCAGTCTAGCTCCTTCTCCCTCTCCCTACCACACCACCAGTAATTAGGAAGACACCAAGAGCTCTAGGGGAGAAGGGGTTAAGAGCCAGAGGAACTGCTGAACTCCAAGAGAAGGCCCCTCTGCCTTCCTGCACTGCAGGAGGAGAGGGCTCTAGCTCAAGCATCAGCTGAACAGTCTGCCCTTCAGTGCCACTTGTGGGGACTCGGGTCTCTGGAGATACCAAACTAGAATTTCACTCAATAGCATAGGAGGCAAAGACAAGAAGGCAGAAGGGCAGAGTATGAATTTCACTCAATAGCATAGGAGGCAAAGACAAGAAGGCAGAAGGGCAGAGGGTGAGGTCCTCTGGAGTTACCCTGGGGACCCCAGGACACAGTCCCAATTCTGAGCTTGAACTCCAGCCTGTCCCTTGAAGACCACCAGATCAATCCCATCATCACCGTACCTCCAGTTAGGGACAGCCGTGGCCTGCTGGAGGCAGCCAGAGTGCCGAGGAGCGAGAGGGGCTGTGGCCCAGAAGGGTTCTCTCTTTCCCACTCTCCGTAAGTGAATGCGTCCCTCCAACTGAGATCACGGGTACAGGGGATACTGTCTTCACTGGGAGTAGCTTTCTCTAGTCGAGAAAAGGAATGCATTTGCACTCTGGCTCACAGAGCACTCTGGAAGCTAACAGCCAATCGTTGTGGGGAGAGGAAGCCATTATACACAGACATGTAAGACAATTACAATTCTTGTTTCTATCACTGGAGACAACTCTCCCACAATCCCCATTTTACAGATAAGGACTTAGAAGTCCATAGAGGGTGATTAATTCACTAATGGCCACATTGTGATGTGGCAGAGTCGATATGCAAAGTCAACCAAGCTCTCTCCAGAGTGGTTCTTAACCACTACATCATGCTGAGCAAAACAGCCTCAGTAAATGGGGAGAAACATTGTGGTTGGGACAGGTTAACTGAGTAAACCTCCCCAAGGATATTCAGTCAGCTAAACCCACAATGGCCTGAAACCAGAAGAGCAAAGCCAAAGCCTATTCTTAGATCCTTTTTGCCCCTGTCTATTCAAAATGTAACCCAAACCATGGTAAAATTAGGATCATATTAGAAATGCCTGGTTTCAAGGCCTTATGTCCAGGTCTAATGAATTAGAAATAGCATTTTAATAAGACCAAGGGTTGACTTGTTAGCCTGCTAATGGGGGCACACAGGTGAACCTTGGGCCTCTGGTTGTCTAGACTGAATATCAATTCCAGTGCCTATCCACCTAAGCCCTATGCAGTCAAGGTTGGTCTTACGCTCACGATTCCTTCTCTTCTTGCCCCCCCCAGGGCTGGGAACAAAGGCATACACCACAATGTCTAACTGAGTGCATGCATGTGTCCATGAGTGCCTCCAGGCATGCACCTGTGTGCGTAGGTACATGTGAATGAAGGTCCTGTCGAAGAGCAGAGGCGTCTATCTCCCTCCTCCCTCTGGAGCTGCTGTTACAGATAGCTCTGAGCTCCCCGAAGTAGATGCTAGGAACCAAACTCAGATCTGGAAGGGCGATATGCACTCGAAACAACTGAGACAGTCTCTGAAGCCCGTGGGTGCTGGTGGTCAAACTCAGGTCCTCGTTTTTTCCCTGCCCTTCTTTCCATTTTATTTTATTTTTAAATCTAGAAGTTCCAATAGAGGGCTGGAGAGATGGCTCAGCCGTTAAAGGCTAGGCTCACAAATAGAAGTTCCAATAGAGGGTTCAGAGCATGGTTCAGTAGGAGTTAACAAGAGTCCCAAGAGCCTGGCACGTAACTTCCCTTTTCTGCCTGGCACAAGGTACAGAGAATATCCCAGCATGGATCATTAACATCAACCCAAGAATATTCCAACATCAGATATCTTGGATTCCTTTTGGTGTTGTTTGATGCCCCATTAAGATCCTCTGTAGCCCAGGCTATCCTGTAACCTGCCATATAGACCAGGTTAGCATTTCTCCCAAGTCAGTTTTCCAAGTACTGTGATGATAGGTATGTACCACCACACCAGATTGGCTATCCTGAAATTCTAAACCTTTTACCTCCAGTCCTTGCGCTCATTAGAAATATTGAGTATTCTGTTTTCCTAACCTCGTAGAATATTTTAACGTGTGTGTGTTTGTGAATATGCTTGAGTGTTATATAAAAACAGAAAAATTAGTTGACATGGTGTCAAAGGTGAGAAACACAGTCACAGATGGGGAGGAAGTGAGGCTCTGTTCCCCTGTTGTGACTTAGGAGCTCCCATCTCCATCTTCAGTGCATTCTGAATGCAGCCTTCCCTTCAGCACATCTTTCTTGCCCACCAAGCCTTAGTATGTGCTGCACTCCCTTTTTACAGAGTATATTTAAAAATTCAAGCTGGGCAGTGTGGCGCACGCCTTTAATCCCAGCACTCGGGAGGCAGAGGCAGGCGGATCTCTGAGTTCAAGGCCAGCCTGGTCTACAAAGAGAGTTCCAGGACAGGCTAAAAAGAAACCCTGTTTTGAATCCCCCCCCCCCAAAAAAATTCAGATTTGGAGCTTCTCTTGAAAAAAAAAATCAAGAGTATCTGACAATTTCAGGCTATATGCCAGCCTGGCAGCAGGTAATTAAAGCTTTAACTAAAACACTCACTGTTTTGGTTGCTTCTGTCTCTATCACTCTAGATTGTATGTCTTCTTAATGTTGAAAATGGATTAGTTGCTACCAGTTAATTTTTTTGATTGACTCATTCTGTTTTGTGTATGTGTGACTATTTTGCCTACATGTATGTCTGTACACCACATACATGCCTGCTGCCCATGGAGGCCAGAAGAGGGTGTCAGGTCTCTCAGGACTGGAGTTACATTCAGTTGTGAGCTGGGAATTGAACCTGGGTCCTCTGCAAGAGCAGAGAGTGTTCTTAACCACTGAACCATCTCTCCAACTCTACCATTAGTTGTTTTAAATATCACAAGGTAAGAGTCAACCACTCCTTTTGCTCATGTTCCCTCAGACCTCTTTCCATTTATTCCACCTATAGACATACGAGTACATAAAAAGCTCTCATTTGGAGCCTAGCTCTTCTAGGATCTACAGTCTCCTCTGCATCTCAACATACAGCATGATGTGGCTGTCTCTGAGCCAACATGGAGAATTAATTTGTCAATGGTCTTAGGTCCACATATTTACTGAACTCCCATTGTGTCCCCAGGGCTGTGCTTGCTTCTGTAGATGACTTAGAGGCATGGATGCAATTTAACATTCATTAAGAAATAAGCCTTAAGCCTTAAGCCTATAAGAGAACCAGAGAATAGTGTGAGAGGTTACGAGGAGGAAAGTTAGAGGATTTGGGATAGATGGGTTTAGAGTTAGCTCCTCAGGGGAAGGAAATGGGTGGGGTCTGGCTAAGCTATGAGGAAGCATGGTTGAAAGTGACTGAAACACATGTGGCTGGAGTAGACACCAGGCAGGGAGCGTGGAATCAGGTGAGACAGGAAAGATGGGGAAGCTGATGAAGGACCACTTCCAGAAGACTCAAGGCAGATTAGAACTGGAACCAGCTGCTGCTTCTGGGATGTCACATTTTCTCACATGGTCTCATCTGCTCCCTCTCGCCTGATGCTATCTATCATGTATGACAATGACACGAAAGAAGAGAAGCACCCTCTACCTTTATGTACCTCTGGCACCCAAGCATGAGCTTTGAATGTTGTCTAGAAAGGAATTTCTATAATTTTGGTATGCACCCGTGTGACCCCCTGCCCCTGAGAGAAGGCAGTGCGGCACTCAAAGAGCCTCTGGTGCATCTTCTGAATGCGTCCAGGAAGCAACAAACGGGTGCAGATGGGAGGGAAGGACTGGCCAGGGTCATTTTGTGTGACTGGAAATGAAGAATATAGAAATGTCTCAAAGAAATAGATGAGTAGGGCTTGGTGCCAAATTAACTTTGGTGGCCAAAGAGCCCAGAGAGATACCCTTTATGGCATGGAGATACTATGGTACTTCTGATGGCATCCAGAAGGCAAAGGGGGCGTTGTGAGGATCTGAGTCCTACCCAGCAGCGAGCTCTCCCTGGCCCCGCAGCCTCCCTTACCTGAGCTGGTCTTGTTGATCTGCATCTCTTTGCTCCTCCTGGAACTCCAGTCATTTCAGGGTCAAGGAAACGAAGATCAAAAGTTAAAGAGAAGAACATTGAACTCAAGAGGGTTTTGTTTGTTGGTTGGTTTTTTGTTTTGTTTTGTTTTTTTGTTTGTTTTTTGTTTTTGTTTTTGAGACATGGTCTTGTATATATATCTAAGGTTGGCCTCAAACTCACCATGTAACTGAGGATGACTCTGAACTCCTGACCCTTCTGCCTCCTGAGTGCTGGAATTACAGACATGCACCAGCATACCTGGTTTATATAGTGCTGCAGACCAAATCCAGGCTTTGTGAGTGCTGTGGCAAGCACTCTACAAGCAGCTACATGCTCAGCCCTAAAGTCATATTTCAAAGTGTATCCCTAGTTAGACTTTTCCTGATGCAGAAGATGTACAGACAGATATAAATATGGAAAAGGCCAGCTGTGGCTACACTGGGTGGGTGTGTTGCATGCTATGTTTCCAGAAGAGAAAAGGGGAAAACTAGGGTAGGGTGGAAGGAGGAAGGGACCAGAGCCTCTGATTTGTCTGAGGAGGAGGGCTGTGACCCTATCTTGGATCTTGCATCTCAGCCATGTATGCTATTTACTGTTTGGTGGCATGTTGCTGCTAATGAGCAAAAACTGGCAATAAGTGCAACCAGCCTGGAAAGTGCCTGGATCTAAAGCATCACCACACGGGGCTTTGTTCCAGAAAATGGAGGAAGCTAAATGTCTGTACGTAGCAGCTCCTGAGATAACAGGGAGGTAGAAGTGATACTCCTTCACTCCTTTTCTCACGGCTTCCTGGCCCATTTTACACATGCCAGTCCAGACCAGTTTAGCTGCTTATCTGGTCTCTCTGAGTCTCTTTTTCCTTTCCAATGAACTGTCATGGCAACAGCTAGAGTGACCTTTTCCAGATGTAAATTAGATCAAAGTACCTCCATGTGTATAATGTGGCTAAGGCTCCCCTCCACTGAAAGTGCACAATCCTCCACATGGCTTCTCAAGCCCTGCTTGGCTGGGCCCTGCCTGTTTCTCCATGTTCTCTGATGTGGCCTTCTTGCTCTTTCCCTGAACCCACCAAGTTTCTTCCTCTGGACAAAACCTCAGCCATTTGTTTCTTCAACCTGCCTTGCTCTCTACCTTCCCCCTTCTTTTTGTCTAGTGCCTATTTCTCTTTCGGGGCTCAACTCTCTCCAACCTTCTAGAATTAAAGACCAGAGATAGGTGGTAGGCCTCTAGTAACCCCACCTCCCTTTTCCTTTGCGGGTATTATTGTTTTGAGACAGAGTAGCCTAGGTTGGCTTCAAACCCACAGGAATCTTCCTGCCCTAGCCTCCTGAGTATTGAGATGACAGGCATGTACTTCCATCTCAGCCTGAGAACACATAATTTTTGTCTCAGCCTCACTTGCAGCTAGTTTGGTTTGTGGGACTGAGTTACAGCAAGTAACAGCATGAGATATATGCAAAAGGGTCTGTGTGGTTTGAGTGAGAGAGACACACACCCCCACACACACACACACACACACACACACACACCCCACTCTCTCCCCCTCCCCCCTCCCCCCCCCTCTCTCTCTCACAGAGGCTGAACACTCAGTCCCCAGCTGATGGCCCTGTTTGGAGAGGTTTAGGTGGTGCAGTCTTGTAGGAAGAAGTGTGTCACTGGGGTTGAGCTTGTGCCACTTCCAGTTAGATCTCTATGCTTTGTATTTGCATTTGAAAATGTGAGTCTTCAGCTTCCTGTTCATGCTGCCATGTCTCCTAGCCATGAAGGGCTCTTATTACTCTGCAACCATAAGCCCAAATAAATCTCACTGTGTATAAATTGCCTTGGTCATGGTGTTGTATCACAATGATAGAAAAGTAGCTAATAGAGTGTCCTATAAATATTAAATTAGCTGGGGATTGTGGTCATGTCTACACTCCCGGGCAGGAAGACCCTGAATTCTGAGCCAGCATTGCCAACATAGACCCTGTTTCAGAAAAAAACAAAAACAAAAAACCCAAAGAAGCCTGTTCAAGGTCATCTCACTAGTTAAGTTTCAGGCCTGCTGCGTTACAAAATCAGTGATTTAATAATTTGATTCAGTTCAAAACTTGCTTCAATATACCTTTGCTCTATTAGAATTCAGCATTATTTCAAAATATGACTTTCTTTTGTTTGTTTTTTATTTTTGTGTCTTTTGAGACAGGGTTTCTCTGTGTAGCTCTGGCTTTCCTGGAACTCACTCTGTAGCCCAGGCTGGCCTTGAACTCACAGAGATCCACCTGCCTCTGCTTCCTGAGTGCTGGGATTAAACGTGTGCGCCACCATGACCCAGAATATGACATTCTATGTAAACATTTCTTAATTATAGTTTTCTTTTTTTTTTAAGAGATTTATTTATTATGTACACAGTGTGTCTGCAGGCCAGAAGAGGGCACCAGATTTCACTACAGATGGTTGAGAGCCATCATGTGGTTGCTGGGAATTGAACTCAGGACCTTTGGAAGAGTGATTAAGATGGCTCTTAACCACTGAGCCATCTCTCCAGCCCCTTTAATTATAGTTTTCTGTATATTATAGACAGTAACAACCTTTTGTACAAACTGTTCAATCTTTCCCAAGACAATTAGTAATAAACATTAATATTTATTGAGCTCTCACTCACATCTGCTTCCTAATCTGACAGAGTATGCTAAGTATTTGATGCTTATGAACTCACTTAATCCCAACAGTATCCTAATGCAGCTGTCTGTTATCTTTTAGGTATTGTAAAACAGAAAGCTGAGGCACTGGTCTATGAGCCATCAAACAGTAAGAAAGTACACTTTCTCTGGACCCTCTTGCCTCTCAGCTTACCACACCCTAGCACTATTCGGTTTGCCTCTGAGCTACTCTAACTAGTTCCTTTTATGGCAAAACCCCCTCCTCTTGGGTTGATATATAACTGAGTGGTAGGGCCCTTGTTTAGGATGCTTGAGGCCCTAAATTTAATCCCCAAGCTGGAGGGAGGCGGGTATCTCTCTTCTATGTGTCAGGAATGGTGGTACTGATTTTCTTATAATTCCAGCACTTTGGAGGTGGAGGCAGGAGGATCAGGAATTCAAGATTATTTCTTGATTACTTAGAGAATTTGAAGTCAACCTGGGCTACATGAGATCCTATCTTTAAAAAAGTTCCTTCTTTTTTGACACTTCATTTTTCTCTCCTGGTGATATTTACTAATTCATTTGTGGTTTCCTTTCTCTGCTTGTAACCCAAACTAGTCTGAAACTCATTCTGTAGCCCAGGCTAGCCTCAACTTTGAAACTGTCTGCTTGCCTCAGCCTCTTTCTCAATGCTAGAATGATAGATATGAGTCACCACACCCGGCTTCCTGTCTCTCATATCACGCCAAATCATCTGTACCTCCAGGGACATCTTCAGGCATGGAGAAGACAGGCCTGTACCCTGGAGCATCCCAGGAGACTATACTTTAGGGACAACCTCAGGAGCTCTATAAAGTCCAAACAGAGGCCCAGTCAATAGAGAAACAAACCCAGGACACAGCAGAGTTTAAAGCAATGTGGTTATGCCGCTATAGAATTAGATACTGGATCTGAATTTAGCTTTCATCCTTTCATGCCTGTTACTAACTCATTTTCATTGCTGAAGAAGTGTTTTTGTTTCTATACACTCCTCTGGAGTCAGGCCTACCTTGCTTGGTATGTGGAGACAGAGACTAAGGCAATGGGAACCCCAAAAATTATTCAGAGGCTAGGCAGTGCATGATAGTGTGTTGTGTCCCTAACTGTGCTTCTTTACCAAGGGTCTCACTGCTGGGACCTTCCAGGCTAGGGGAAAGGATGGCATGGGCTAGCCTGATTTAAATCATGTACCTGTACTGTTTCTGCTGATGCAAGTCGGCAAAGATCTGTGAGAGAGCCTCGCTCTCCCCCTGGGCCATCAGCTGCATGAGGCTCTCACTGGGCCGGGAACATGGAGGTTTCTTCTGCACTAACTATACAGAGAAGGAACAAACAAACAAAACAAGAGGTTAAGCCTTGGCTCTCTGCGTTTTCTTAACACCAATCTCTAGACTCTGCAACATCAGGACCCAATCTCTCCCATTAGGCAGTTCTCTTTGTTGGTATCTCAGTGTTTGATATAAATATCCTTTGGTACCTTAAAGGTAAGATCTTCATTGCACACTTGCCAACATAGATTTAGTATTGTTAACTTGTTAAGATGAATTTTAACAGCTTGTGCTACTTGTTTTTATACTGAAATGTATAAAAATTGTATAAAATGAAAAATTTAATATGTAAAAACCTAATTCCTCTAAGAAAAGCCCTGTATGCAGTTGCTTTGTGGATATGTGGTATATTTGTACCTGTTCATGTGTGTGTGTGTGTGTGTATGTACATATAGGTGCACACACACACACAAGTAGAGGCTGCAGGCCAACACAATGTTCCCTCTATCATTTTCTACCTGATGGTTTAAGACAGGCATTTTGCTGGACCTGGCACTCACCAACTCTGCCCAGTTGGCTGGTCAGCAAGTTACAGGGACCCTCCCCAAGGGGGCCTATGAATCACCTGACCAGGAGACGTCTCTCAGGAAATCTGACCCACCTAAAGATGTATGAGGAGATGGGAAGGGTAATTATGCCATTAATAAAACAGTGTACTTTTACTTCCTAGAAACCTCACCACCCCACCGTGCAGTTGCTCGCAGAGCATCACTGTTAAGCCCACTCACTTTTCTGTATTCTACCTCAAAAAGTGCCACTTTTCCTTTTCCTGTTTATCTCTTTTTCATATACCACCAAAAGCCAAAGCACAAAGCCAACACTCTGGGCTTTCTCATTGTTTCTTTGAAGACTCTGCCCCACAATGTGTTATTATTTTTTTAATGTGGGGAGTTTTATTGGGGGGAAGGGAAGGGAGAGGGGGGTGAGAGAGAGACAGGGACAGACAGACAGACACACAGACAGGCAGACAGAAAGAGAGAAGGAGGAATAGAGACCACAACCTGTTCTTAAGCTGTTTGCCAACTTCCATTGTTGAACACAACTGATATCTTGGACTGCAACTCAAAAGGTATTAACAAATGAATAATAAGAGCCTCTCTCAGGCTCTTCCAGGGGTCCTGAGTTCAATTCCCAGCAACCACATGGTGGCTCACAGCCATCCGTTATGAGATCTGGTGCCCTCTTCTGGTGTGGAGATATACATGGAAGTAGAATGTTGTATACATAATAAATAAATAAAATCTTAAAAAAAAAAAGAGCCTCTCTCAAACAGACACAACACCCCCATAGTTCCCAGGCCATATTTTGTAGCACAGGCCTGTAACTAAGCCCTTGAAGCCTAAAGCAGGAGGATCTGGAGTTGTAGGCCATCCTGGGTTCTAGAGCAGGGTCCTGCCTTGCAACAAAACTACCACGATTCATTCACAAGAGCACCACCAGCAAGGAATTTATGTAGGGATACTTTTAACAAAAGTCTGTTGGGGTTGGGGATTTAGCTCCTTGGTAGAGTGCTTGCTTAGCAAGAGCAAGGCCCTGTGTTCAGTTCTCAGCTCTGAAAGGAAAAGGTAGCAAAAGGATGCCAGTGAACAAAGAGCTTGATGTTCAGAATGCATGTAAAACCAGGTGCAGCAGCTCATATATGAAACCCCGGAGCACCTTCCGTGAGATAGGAACCAGAGACCAGAGAATCCACAGAAGGTCGAGGGCCAGTTAGCCTGGAGTGCACAGAGGAACAAGGAACCCTGTGTTAAGTAAGGTGGAAGATGAAGGTTGTCACCTGAGGCTGTCTTCTGACCTCTACATGTGTGACATGGCACATGTGTGCTCACACACACACACACACACACACACACACACACACACACACACACACACACACACAGGGTTGGAGGGAGGAAGACCCAGAGAGGGAAAGAGGAGGACGGAGAGGTGGTAAGAATAGAGAATGAAAAAACTAAAAACAGCAAACAAAACCCTCCCACATGGGTTAGGGAGATGGCTCAGTGGGTGAAAGTGCTTGTGAAAGAATTGGGATCTGAGTTCAGATCCCTAGCATCCATGTAAAGAGCCATCCACAGCAGTGCACACCTCTAACCCTAGCACCGGGGATGAAGAGTTTGGGAGCAGAGATAGGAGAATTGTTGGGGCTTGTTGGCCACCAGCCTAGCAAATATCCCTCATGCTCCAGGTTCAGTGAAATACCCTATCTAAAAGGAATAAGGCAAAGAATAATAGAGGAATATACATGAAGTCTTCCTCTGGTCTCTGCATGCCCCTCATAGTGCATACTGACACCCAATACACGCACGCACGCACACACGCACACACACACCAAAAAAGTCTTTTTTTTGGCCTGGCATGGTAGAACATGCCTATAATCCCAGTACTTGGGAGCTGGAGAAAGGAGGCTCAGGATTTCAAGGCCAGCTTTGGCTACATAATGAGTTTGAAGCCAGCATGGGCTACATGAGACCTATCTCAAAAAGCCAAACCAAACCAAACCAAACCAAACAAACCAAGCAAAACCCTTCCATCTTGTTCATTTTAAGTGAATTGTGGTGATGGCTGACGGTTGCACAGCTGTGTACCATACGTACTTAGAAAGGGTTTTCGGTTACAAATGCTACCATGTTGGAAGAAAGTTAAAGCTGAGGGCACCTACACAAGGCACTCAGCAGCAGCTCAAATCTCCCTTCTCCAACTCCAGCCTTGGCTGAAGGCTAGCAAGGGGGATTTCTTACCTCAGACTTCCCACATGGGTTGCAGAGGCTCTTGGGTACCAGGCAGTGAGTGACAAGGATGCTAGGGTCCTTGGTGGTGATGGACAGACCCTTCTGCAGAATTTGAACCAGGCGGATCCAAAAAAGGAAGACAGTCTCAGGATGGTCAGGGTGGAGCTTTAGGAAGTAGATCTTCTCGGTGACTGTCCTCAACCTCAGGATGCGTTCATGGTGGTCACAGATCTGGAGCTCCACAAACTTCAAAGGGAGAATGCTAAGGACACAGAAGAAGACACTTGGACAACCCCATTACTTTTGACATGTCCCCTCAAGGGTGGAGGCTCTTAGGGGGGAGGAAAGAGAGCTCTTGGCCAGTGGTGCTAAATCCCGGGGAAAGCAGAGATCCCTGGAGCAGTTAATCAAGATGGAGACTCTCAAAGATAATCCCAAAGATTCAAATTCAACAGGTCTGGGCTGTGGCCCTGGGACCTGCGTCTCTCACTCTGCCATGATTCTCATGCCAGCGTTCCCTGGGTCTGTGCCACAGCAGTAGCTCAGGAATAAGGTGGCCAGACTCATGGGATTTGCCATTTCCTTCTTGAAAATGCAAAGGGAGCTGAGCCACCTATACAGCTTGTTCATCCGTTGTAATACCTTCATGTCTCCAAAACCTCCCAAATGAGCCGACTCCAGGACCTGGCTTAGTTCTACCTAAAACTCGTTACCTGTGGTGGGAGTACTTGCTACAGGTATACCAACATCTTAACAGAGAGCCCTGGCATGAGGTAGCTTGGAGTGATGAAGGGGTCTCCTGAACCTCTGGTAACATCTAGAGATTCTCCGGATGATTTGCCGATTGTGTAAGGAGGCCTTTTGTGGCTTGAATATCAAATGTCTCCAGAGGCTTAGTTGTTTAAACACATGGTCCACAGCTAATGGTGCCATTTTGGGAAGATTATGGAACCTTTGGAAGGAGGAGCCTTGTTGGAGGAAGTGCATCACTGGGGGGAGAGCTTTGAGGTTTTATAGCCAGAGCTTATTTCCTGTTCTCTGTTTTTGGTTTAGATGCAACACAATCAGCCAGCTTCCTGTTCTTGCCAGCATGTCTCTCCTTCCCTGCCACGACACACTCTGTCCCCCTGGAACTTTAAGCCAAAATGAACCCTTTCTCTCCTGAGCTGCTTTTCATTGGGGTATTTTATCACAGCAATAGAAAGGAAACTGGAACTGAAGGACTTAAGAATTAACAAAGAAATAAAATAAGGAGAATCAAGAAGGGCCATTCTACCCCAAACATCATGCTACTATACACTATAGCCTCAAGTGGGACTTAGGCAATTCACATTACAGAGAAAAACTGCAGCCACTGACTTGTGATACAGAAATCTAGTTAGCCACACACCCAGGACTGAAAAGAACACGTCTCTTCCGAACAGCTCTCCAGCTGCCAGGTCTCAGGATCTCGTCAACTCCTTAACCAGAGCCTTAGAGGTTCAAAATCAGAAGAGTGAAGCAAGTGTGCTTGGAGACCTGCCTCCACTCCTGTCCATGCAAAGCGTCCTTCCACACAAAATAGTCTGTCCTTCCAGTGAAAGACTGTCTGGTCTCACCTGACTTGTCAGGTGTGAGCTTGCCCATGCATGTGTTTGTATATGGAAGCCAGGGGTCAATGTCACTGTCTTCCTCTATAGCTGTCCACTATTTAAAAAAAAAAGTTTGTGGAATGTAAAAAATAAATTAATAAAAAAGAAAAAAATTTAAAGAATGTTTGGGTTTTTCAAGACAAGGTTTAACTGTGTAGCCCTGGCTATCCTGGAATTCACTCTGTAGAGCAGGCTGACCTAGAACACACAGAGATCCACCTGCCTCTGCCTCCAGTGCTGGATTTAAAGGTGTGTGTCACCATGTCCAGTTTAAAATTTTATTTTAACTTATTATTTGTCATGTGTATGGGGATTCTGTGTACATGTATGTCTGTGCACCACATGTATGCAGTGTGCACAGAATCCAAAGAGTGTCTGCTCCCCAGAGACTGGAGTTTCAGACAGCTGTTAACTGCCACAGAAGAGGAGCCAGTGCTTTTAACCCCTGAGCCATCCGTCCGGCTTCCACTGTCCTTTTAAAGGGACAGTTTAAGAAAGAAAAAGAGCACTTGTTCTTGCAGAGGACCTGGCAATCATGGTGATTCATAACCATCTGTAACTCCTGTTCCAGGGGATCTGACACCTTCTTCTGACCTCCACAGGAACCGAGCACACACATGGCACACAGATGTATGTGCAGGCAAAAATTCACATGGCTAAAACAAAATTAATAGACTAAAAAAAAAAAAAAAAAAGAGGCACTCTCGAGGAAGGAAGTGGGCTAAGGAGTTGGGAAGACAGTCACTCAAAAACCTCCACCAAAATTATTGAGACATTTCTCACTGAACCCAGAGCTTATGGTTTTCATTTGGCTCGACTCTGGCAAGTCTCTAGCCTAGGATCCACCTCTTCCTCCGCACCGTCACCCTGTTCCTGGGGTTACAGGCTTGCATCGTACTTGACTTTTTGCATGGATGCTGATGATCCAAACTCAGATGCTCATGCTCGCCATGCCATTTTCCCACGAGACATCTATTCCCCAACCCCCCACTTATCTGTGTATGTGTATTTTGGGGCGGGGTATGTGTACATGCGTATGCACCAGCATATGGAGGTCAGAGGTTAACCCCAAGTCTCATTTCTTGAGTGTTATCCACCTTGTTTGTTTGTTTTTGTTTCTTTTCTTTTTGTTTTTGTTTTTTGAGACAGGGTTTCCCTGTGGCTTTGGAGGCTGTCCTGGAACTAGCTCTTGCAGAACAGGCTGGTCTCAAACTCCCAGAGATCTGCCTGCCTCTGCCTCCCCAGTGCTGGGACTAAAGACGTGTGCCACCAACGCCCGGCTATTTTTGTTTCATTTTAATCAGAGCCTTTCACTAAACCTGGAGCTTATTAGTTAGGCAAGGTTGGGTGGCCAGCAAACCCTAAGGATCCACCCATCGCTACCTCCCAGTGCTGGGGTTACACATGTGTACCACTATATTCATTCTTTCTTCCTTTTATTTTACTCTGGTTACTGCAATCTAGAGCAGTTAGTAGCTGAGTACCATAGTGCATGTTTGGAATCCAAGCACTCAGGAGGAGGCAGGTAGATCAAGAGTTCAAGGCTAGCCTTGACTGAATAGTGGGTTCATGGCCAGCCTGGGCTATAAAAGATTTTGTTTAAAATAAGATTCCAATTAATGTCACTGCAGTGGCTTCTCAGTTCCTTCCCATCTCGAGTTTAGTACCAGGCAGCTTCCCTTCGGTCTGCCCTTTAACCCTCTCATCCCTCATCCCATCGGTGTTTCTTACCTCTTCAGGATGATGCTCGGGGCTGTGGATGGTCTGTTCCATGTCTGGCTCTGCCCCTGATGCCATTTGACTCTGGCCATAAGGAGGATGTTGGGGAGGGGAAGACAGGGCACAGAGGAGGTCACCCCAAGGGCCATTGTGTTGGAGGCTTTGTAGATTTCTTTCCAATGTCTGCTCCTTCTGACCTGCAATGCAGCCCCCAGGCCCAGCCTGAGCATTTGGCAAAAGCCCCAAGGTGTTTTAGCCAAGTTTTTTCACTCAGAACAAATTTTTGTTGATAGCTCTTGATGGCCTAGAACTTGCTAAGTAGATGAGAACCAGAGAACAGAGATCTGCCTGCCTCAGTCTCCTGAGTGCTGGGATGAAAGGAGTGTGCCCCCATACCATGCTAGCCACTTAGGTTCTTCGTGGGAGGAAGGCTATGCTGTGTTGTGGAATGTTTAGCAGTGTCCTTAGCCTCTGTCCCCTAGATGCCCATAGCAAACTCCCACCTACATTCTGACAACTGAAAATGTCCTCAGATATTGTCAAGTGTTCCTTGGAAATGAGGGCTTAACCATTGTTTTTTAAACAATATTTTAACCTGTATTGTTTTAAAAGTTCTAGTGGGACTTAAGGGTGTTTTTTTTTTCTTAGCTATTTAAACAAGACAAAAAGAAACCAAACAGGGTCTTACTCTATAGCCCAGGCTAGACTCATTCTCAAGGGTATCCTCCTGCCTCAGCCTCCTGAGTCCTGGGATTTACAGGCACGAACTACCCTTCTGATTTTTCTAATAGGACTTCAAGAACCTACTATTAACACAAGAGCAACAATGACCAAGGAGAGCCTTAGCATCCACTTCGTGTCTGTGGATCCTCCCTTGCAAGCTTCCTGGCTTTGCTTTGAAAACAGTCGTCTCCATAGCCCTTCCATTTATTCTAGGTTCTGTCTGGCCCAGGGGGAGCCCAGGCAAGGAACAGAAACACAGAGAGTACCCCCTGACCGTGCTCTTGCTTGCTGTGTTTAAATGGACTTGTGCATGTCACACACACAATGGCCCCTCCCCACTAGCGAGCAGACACTGGACTCCGAGCCAGGGTTTCTGAGTCCCAAGGTCCTATTCTTTGCCAACCAGTATTTCCATTCCTCGTCTTCAAAGGCCATCTCCCTTCACTGCCTTTTCTTGGTGTCAGATGAAGACCTGAAGGTGGCATAAATTAGGGGTTCCAGTGCCTAACCCTCCACTCAGCACAGGGTGCCCAACCTTCCTTGTTGGCTGTACTCTTACAGGAGAAATCCTAGTCAGCCTTGTGTCTCAGGCCCTCTAGCTCTCCTGCCTCAGTTTATCTACCACTGCAGTTCTAAGGGTAACTCTTTTGGTCCCGTCTTGGGACTAGGTTTAGAAGAATCAAGGAGAGCTTGCTGTTCTGAGATGCCCAAGAGTACCTGGACAAAGTTGCTTTCAAACACCACAGAGTTAGGAAACAGGTTGAATTCTGGAGAATGAACGATCTGGCAGAGCAGTCCTTCCTCCACACCCAGGCCCACTCCTGGGTTCGGCTCCCCATCCACAGGCAAGAGGCCCCTGAATTTTTCCCAGGCATTCAAGGAAGGGAAGGTTGGATAAGATCTTATAACTTTTACAGTCTTCTTCGAATTCCACCACGGCTTTCTAGGTGGAACTGATGTCATCATGTCCGCACATGCTCAGGGGCCCTCTGCACAGTTGTCCTGGGATCTGTTTCTTCCCTTCTGACCATGGGCAGCTGGCCAAGGCCTAGGGGGCAGCCAGTCAGCTCACAATGATGAATGGATGACATCATGAAAAACCACAGCAGGCCTGTAAGAAAGGGAAGCAGGGGAGCCTCCCATTTCCTCCTGAGCCAGTGTTGTTCACTTTGACACTGACATCCCAAGTCCTCCTCTGGAGCCTACATGGAACAGTCACAGAACTTGCTGGGAAAGCCTGAGGCAGGCAGGAAGTGAGGGCTGATAGGAAGTTCCTGCTACTGCTCAGAAGGAATGCCTTTCCTGATTCTCACCTCCCTCCCCCCCTCTTTCTCTCTCTCTCTCTCTCTCTCTCTCTCTCTCTCTCTCTCTCTCTCTCTCTCT